CGGGGAAGGCAGCGGCCGCCCACACACATCAGCGGAGGGGCGCCCACGACGCCGACTCCCAACACCGAGCCACACAGCACACACACAAAAAAAAGAAAAAGAAAAAACTTACCTGCAGTGAGAACTGCAGTGCCCAAGAGAGAGAAAAGAATGTGCGTGAGGCATGCCCACGGAGCAAGAAAACAATATGTGTTTAACACCCACCAACCCACACGCAGACACTCAGTGCGCCATGATCGCAGAGGCGGCCACGACGGCCAACACAAGCGGCGCCAAGGCGGAGGCAGCAGCACTGCCATCGGCATTCAGCTTCAGGTCAAGGTTCTTGCCGTGTGTTTTAACAATGCTGGCACGTCTTATGTTAACAGATGCCTGACTTCCTGTGTTGTCGGCTGAGTTGCCTTCGTTTCCATGCGAAATAGATCCATCAGTAGTTCCCTCTGTTCGAAGGCTGCCATGTTCTTCGTTGGAGGGGCTGGGATCAACGCTGGACGCAGCGTCCGACGCCTGATGAATAGAGGATGTGTCACCGCCAGTTTGTAGCGCTCCTGTGGAAGAAATAACTCCGGTTTCATGTACGGTCTGAGCCTCGTTGGCGTTTGCCACAGCAGCGTCCCTGGTGTCGACAGAGTCTGGCGTAGAACCTCCCGTGACAGGCTTGTTTTCCTCGAGGCCACTGCCCGTCCTGCGTCTCCCTTGGAAGATGTTCGCCAGCATCTGCAGCACGGTGGACGGCACGTGACGGCCCGATGCCCCGCTACGCCTCCTCAGCGACGGCAGCTTCGTAGGGCACACGTCAGACACATTCGGGCACACAATAGTGCCAGTCAGCGCACCCTTTATTTTCGTCACGTTGCGGGAGCCACCCTCAGGGCAGCCGTACCAGGTGTTGTTGCCGGCTATGCGGAAGTACACGCCGCCCCTGGCGCACTTCATCTGCACGCACACGTCGCCAATCGGCGTGTCCCCCACCTTCAGATCCTTCCCCTCCACGCACCGCGAGTTCTCGCGAATCAGACTCCCCGGCATGTTGCTCTCGTTTCCATCAGTGCAGCTGAAGCCTTTGTCCGCCACAATAATGGGGCAGTAGTCCATCATGTCCTCCCGCCTGCCACCAAGAACCTTGCCATCATCCGTCGGGGTTTTGAAGTAGCTGTATATCGCGGGAAGATCGTCGTACTTTCCAGTAACACACTTCCCCAACGCCTGACGGTCAGAGGTGCACCGCAGCAGAGCATCATCATGTTTGTCGCAGAACATGCTGGGATAGTTAGACTTGCCGTTTGTAACGCAGCTCTTGCTCTTCAGAAAATCACATCCAGAGTAATTTCCCCAGCTCATCGGTTCGGCCTTGGACATGTCCACACTGTAAAACTGCAGATCAGAAAAAGCTGCAAGCGTTATCGCCGTGTAGCGACCAACGCCCACAAGACCGGCCATCAGCTCGTCCTTCGCAAGAAGCCGCTTCCAGTGGGAGCTCACACCCATCTTTGTGGACAGATCCCACTCGGTCCTGTCGCTTTGACGTTTCTTAGACATTTGGCGCCCAGTAGTCCCCTTTTGTGCTTGAATTCCAAGAGCAACAGCAGACTTCAACCCCAACGAAGTGCTTTGCGACACCTTAGCGGATTGTTCATCGGCTGCCCACGTCATACTGTCCTCCATCTCCATGCCATGAAAGCCCTTGCACTGGTAGTGATACGCTCCCCATTGTTTTGTCTTCGCAGCATCAAAGATGTAAACCTCCTTTCCACGTGCCTCGTAGGTGGAAATCCCAACCAGCTTCGCCCGCTTATGCATGGTCTCCACGTTGAACCCAAGGGTGTGCGCAATCTCGTGTGCGGCGACGCGGACGGCATGCGACGTGCGTGCAATGTGGCGCGGGCTGTAGTTGATCACGCCAATCAGCGGCCGCCCATTGGGGTGCACCGCGCACGTCGCCGCCCACGCAAAGGCGCCATCAACCGTCGGCGCAGCAGTGGCGTACAGCACCATGTCGGCGCCGTCAACACCAGTGGTGTGATGCTCCTTGGGGATGTTGAGCCGGCCACAAACACTCGTATCCCTGTACTTCGGCGCAACGATGGGGTAAGTCAAGGGCTCAACGGCCAGCCGGTCTGCATGCAGCTTCACAGCCTCGGGGATAATCGAATATTCCAGAATCTCCTGCTTCTCCTTCGTCATGATATCACCCGCGGTGCACTGCACTGTTTTCCCCAATACATCCACGTACTGATCGCTTTCATTGGTGCAGTTGTGAGCCTTGAGTGGATCCACCATGAACACCTTGATGCGGATGGGCTTGCGACTACCGTCTGGAAACGGAGGTATCGTTGGCTTCGAAACAGGCGTGGGTGCACCTTTTTTGAACTGGGCGTCCTCCACTTCCGCCACCTCGGCCCT